GACAACGTGCGGACGCCACCCAGCTACGAGATGGCAGCACGAAGACTACGGACGATCGAAAGGAAGATGGACCAGTCGCCGGAGTTTCGTGACGCCTACACAGCCCAGATAGACAACCTCCTGGCGAAGGGATACGCAAGGGAAGCCGAGGGGACAGAGCGAGAGGATCCCAAGAGCTGGTACCTGCCACACTTCGCAGTACGGAATCCGAACAAGCCGGGGAAGACGAGAGTAGTGTTCGACGCGGCAGCGCGTGCATCCGGCAGATGCCTTAACGATTATTTACTCGACGGCCCCGACTTATTACGGAACTTACCGGGCATACTGTTGCGATTTAGGGAGAACGAGATAGCGGTGTCCGCGGATATTAGGGAGATGTTCTTGCGCGTGAAAATCGACCGTCGCGATCAGCCCGCGCAGTTGTTTCTTTGGCGAGGAAACGAGCGACACAGCCCACCGCGGGAGTACGTTATGACGTCTATGATTTTCGGTGCGAGGAGCTCGCCGTTTCTCGCACATAGTATTAGGGATCAAAACGCGCGCGCACACGCAGAGACACACCCGTTGGCACTTAACGCTATCGTACGTAGCCATTATATGGATGACTATTTAGACAGTTATGCCACGGTAGAGGAAGCGATAAATACGGCGAAGCAGGTTTCGGAAGTGCACCAGCAGGCCGGTTTCACCTTGGCAGGATGGAACTCTAACCACGCAGCCCTGTTAGAAGACAAGCCGGAGGACTTACTGGCGCGTAAGCCTAAGGAAGTAGGCTTAAGACAAGACAGCCCAGGCAGAACCTTAGGGTTATTATGGATGGCTGATGAAGACGCCCTAACATTCAACACGTCAATGAATAGGGTGCCGCAAGAAGTAAAGGCGCTACAGCGACCACCGACCAAGAGGGAAGCATTAAGCGCGGTCATGTCCGTTTTTGACCCGCTTGGACTGCTAAGTTACCTCACCATCACCGCCAAGATCCTGCTACAAGACCTATGGCGTATGAAGAAGGTCGGATGGGACGACGAACTGCCCGAGGACGCAGCAGAGGAATTCCAGCGATGGCTGCGAGTCGTCGAGGAGGTATCACGACTACGACTGCCAAGGTGCTATGCTCCTACGGGGGGAGTGGTAGAGCATCAACTTCACGTGTTCAATGATGCGAGCGAACGTGCATACGCATCCGCGGCGTATTGGCGTATACGATATCGCGACGGAACAATTACGGTACGATTAGTGGCGGCTAAGGCGAAAGTCGCTCCAATTAAAGCGCAAAGTATACCGCGATTAGAGTTGCAGGCGAACTTAATAGGCGCGCGACTCGCGGAATTCGTGCAGGACGAACACGAGTGGTAGCAGATAGAGTCGTATATTGGACGGACTCTACTACGGCGCTCCACTGGATACAGAACGATACGGCGCGTTACACTCCATACGTTGCTCACCGGTTAGGGGAGATAGCTGAGAAGACATCACCCGAGCAATGGAGGTGGATACCGACTGCGGAAAACGTAGCGGATCAAGCAACGCGTATGAATTTCACAACCAAGGAAGAGAGCGACAAGTGGTTTACAGGACCACCCTTCCTCTACGAGCATGAAGACAGATGGCCTCACCGACAGGAAGAGAAGGCGGGGGATGATGAAGAGTTGGAGGAAATCGTGGCGCACCAGAGCGACACCCAGGAAGCTCCACACCTGCCAGACATAGAGAGATTCTCTGCCTACGAGAAGTTAATCAGGGCCACAGCAAGAGTACTACAATTCCTCGATACGGCACGAGGAAGAGCACGAGGACTGACCTTACAGCACATCCAGAGAGCAGAACAGATGTGGATACAACACAGCCAGCAGGAAAGCTTCGCTGAAGACATCAGCCGCCTTCAGCGGGGAAAGAATTTGACCACCGGCAGCGCACTAAGGAAGCTCGACCCCATATTGGAGGATGGAGTGCTACGAGCCAGGGGAAGGATCGACGCAGCCGACGTGGACGGTCAAATGAAGAGACCCATTATCCTGAATGGACGTCACCAATTTGTGAAGCTGCTTGTGGAGAAGGCGCATCAGGAAGCAAGCCACGCCAACAGAGAGAGAGTGGTGAACGACCTGCGCACTAGGTATCATATCCTCCGATTACGACCCACAGTACGAGAAGCGGAGCGGAGATGCCTACGATGCAGAGTACGGAAGGCGACACCACGACCTGCGGTTACAGGAGACTTACCACCTGAACGGTTAGGGGCGTTTGCGCGACCATTTACGAACACCGGGATTGATTATTTCGGGCCTCTGACGGTTACGATAGGACGACGGCACGAAAAACGGTGGGTGGCACTGTCACGTGCCTAACGACGCGCAGTACATCTAGAGAGATCTAGAGATAGTCTATTCTCTGACCGCGGACTCGGCGATATCGGCATTGCGGCGCATGGCGGCTAGGCGTGGGTGGCCACGGGTTATTTATTCGGATAATGGGACTAATTTTCATGGGGCAAATACAGAACTACGACGGGCAATGGAAGAGTGGGCGCCACAGTTGAAGGATTACGCGCTGACTCGGCGCGTCGATTGGAAGTTCATCGTACCGGGCGCGCCTAACCAGGGAGGCGCATGGGAGCGTCTCGTGCGCTCAGTGAAGATCGCACTCGAAGCCACTCTCCATCAGAAGTGCCCACGAGAAGAAACGCTGGCAACGCTTCTGACTGAAGCCGAAAATACTGTAAATTCTCGACCGTTGACGCACGTACCGGTCGACATCGACGATGAAGAGGCGCTGACACCCAACCACTTCCTACTGTTGGGACCATCGGGCCTGCCAGTCACCGCGCCGTGCACACCCATGGATCGTCGGGCGTGGAGAGCGGCGCAGGGGCTCGCCGACGAGTACTGGAGGCGCTGGGTGAAGGAGTACCTGCCAACGCAGGTCGCGCGTGGGGACTTCAGAGATGCTCAGCAGCGCCAAATACAGGAAGAGGACCTCGTCGTGGTTGCGGACGGCAACCTACCCAGGAATGTGTGGCCGCGGGGCATCGTAACGAAGACGTTTCCTGGACCAGACGGCGTGGTGCGAAACGTCGAGGTCCGGACCAAAGGAGGAGTGCTGCGGCGGCCCGTCAGGAAGATCGCCGTCCTCCCGAGAGAAGCTTAGGCTCGCAGGCTACGCCGGGGGAGGATGTAGCGGACAGCGAGGAGGCCGCCGCCCCGTCGCCCCTTCACACCCCGGTGCGCCCCGCGCACCCCGCACACCGGCAGCAGATCACGCGATGTCGCCGACCAATGAGCGCGCGGCATCGCGGACGACGCTACTCACGACCCGAGACGCTCTCCGGCGAGATATAAGAAGGGCGTCTCGGTCGGTGAGCTGTTCATTTCGGAAGCGGCACTCGAAGAGAAGAAAACAGCAAGAGAAATCAAGAAAATCAAGACTCAAGAAGACTCCCCTCTGTATAATAGTGTAATTAATAGTGCCACATTGTAAATAGTTTGAATACAGTATAGTTCGACAGTAACATCTTTTCTTTAAGCAGTTGTCCCTAGCGTACTCAATAATACAGTCCACTGCGATCCCTAACAAATGCTTTGATAAGAAGGCATTTTGACTATGCTTCCTTTTTGTGGGAACCATGCAATAAAAGTGAAGTGCGCTTAAAACTTTGGATCAAATTCAAGTAAAATGCCTTCGCATTATAACAGGAGGAATGAAATCTACCCCCACTAACACTCTCCAGGTCGAGTGTGGTGAGGGTCCTCTCTTTCTTCGCAGGCAGTACCTATCAGACAAATTCTGGTTCAAAAAGTGTTTTCTTCATAACCATCCGCTGTTCCATATACTACACTCACTTCACCAACAAATTTCAATTTCCCCATACTGGCGACATAAAGATATACCATGTCTTTTAAAAAGCTATATAAAGTTTGTAAACATTCAATCTCCAATCTTCCAAAATAGCAACAACTTACTCTTCTCCACTCCCTACGAAGCACTAGTTTTCAATCCAAACGTCATCCTTGACTTCAGACTTGACAAGAAAACCATTGATCCTAAGAGCAAATTAAAGAAAATCATCTCAGAAAATTGGCAAGACTGGATCATTATGTACACAGATGCTTCAAAAAATTCTAACAAATATTGTGTAGGGTCTGCAGTTTGGTTCCCTAAATATAGAATAATATTAAATTTTAAGTGCCCATCTGAATCATCAGTTTTCACAGGTGAATCTATTGCCATCTTAGAGGCAATTCTATAATCTGAAAAAAAGAATCTCATAACCTGGAAAATACCTTAATTCTCTCTGACTCTCTTAGCTGTCTCCAAACTATTATCTCCAGCTCCTTCCACTCTAAATCAAATCTTTTCCCTATCCTCTTTATTAAAAAAGCATTATATAATTGTCACAAAAAAGGCCTAAAAGTTGTTTTGGCTTGGATTCCAAGCCATTCTGGGATACGTGGTAATGAGTGTGCTGATTTCTTGGCTAAGAAAGCAACACAAACAGGTATCCTATCTCTGTACCAAATTCTGGGACCAAACTAAAACCATAAAATGTAAACACTACACTCGGGTTCAAGACACAATCCCATACAAACCTTGGTTTTTCCATTATCGTGAAGCTAACAAATTTACTACATAAACCATTTGCCATCTTCGCTTTGGTCATTCTTGCACACCGGTACACCTAGCCAAATTAAGGATAAGGGATAATTCTTTATGTGAACGTGGCCTTGATGAAGGTTCAACCGATCACATATTTTTCGATTGTCCTCGACTCAAGTTCTCCTTGTATGGTATCCTTCCTCAAAACATCCCTCATCCTACTAATTCTACCTGTCTGCTGTCTCTCGTGTTCTCCTCATTTGTTCATATTTGATGTGATTTTATTTATACTAATAGTATTAAGTTGTAACATAAAACTAATCATTGTTGGTGGTAGAATTATGTTTGTGTTGTCTTTTGTTGTAGATTAGAAGCCAATCACAAAAAAAAATTAAAAAGAAAAAACTATAAAAAAATAAGATTTTATTTAACTTGTTGTCACTCCCATGACTGACTTGACATTGGCAGAATTATTTTAAGAGAAGCCAAAAAGCAAAGAAGAAGAAGAATATAATTTTAAAAAATAACATTTGCATCTTTCTTCTTTTGTTTAAGGAATGATTTGCTTAAATATATCACAAGTAAACAGGCACAGAATGATAAATAAAAGTCCTACAAATAGGACATGTACGCTGATATCCATAAAGACGCATGCAGCACTCTGTACACAAGCAGACATGGCGACATGGCAAAATCAAAACACATTTTGGCCGTTCTTGACAAATAATACAAAGGGCTTCTGCGGCACTTAAAACCTCATCTGCTGATTGCACAGCACCCTCTTCTTGAGTAGTCATCTGTTGCCCACCAGACATTTGTGCTATCAATCTAGTTTCATAATCATTGAAGTAATTATAAATTGTGTAATAAAGATATAAAACTTTCCTTTTGCAATTCCAATATACAGTAGACATTTGAGATCTTAACGTAAATCTAAAGTGTAAGCATAGTCGCACTATAATCATAGTAATCAGTATTCCTATGAATGATTCCAAAGGCACATCAGTTAAGAAATTAGTAAAATGTAATAGGCTCATGTAAGCATGAAACATAACATGATAGATACTGCCACTTACACTTATCCACATTTCTCTCATTATTTGTGGTAAGTGAATAGGTATAAATGTCAACATTAACCACAATGTTTCTCCCAAAAATATAAAAGTTTTCTTCCATAACATAAAAATGTCACTAATAACTACAAAAATTTCTTCAAATGACCAATAAATTAAACCAAATATTAGTTTGAAATTGTCAACTAAGCCATAGTACATCATATTTAGGTAGTTTTGAACTTGATACCATTGTTTAACGGCAGTTTCTATTATGTAGATTGTCAAATTTGGTAATTCTTCAGTAAAAATTGTGACATTATCCTCGTATACTATTTGAAAAAAAAGTAAAATCCTTTGTGCACTTTCATAAAATACACCAAAAATTGTAGATATAACAGCTACAATTAATTTTCCTAGTACTGAAGCTGTAACAAATACCCACTGAGTAACAGTTGCAATTAAATTCACTAAATTCGTAACCACAGAAATCATCATTAGTCCTCATAATTGTTACGCATATTCATCACAGAACACTTATTATCCCTTCAGGTTTTACTTACAATGAACTGTACCTTTATCACTACTTTTGTATATAACTATGTTAGGTAGGTACTGTAAAGTGAAAATTAAATTTACACAAGTTTAACGGGTCATGTTTAAGCAAAAGTGAAAAAGAAGCCATTCCCATCTCACATCGAGTTGAATAAAATTTAGAAACTGAAAACTTAGTGAAAACCACTACATTAACAAATTAACTGAAAAGCTAAAATTAAAATGATTTAGGCTTGGGCAAATAATATCGAAATATCGTCGATCGATCCTGTATATCGATATATTTTTTAATAAAAATATCGATATACAGGATCATTTTTAATTTCCTAAAGACCTTTTGGGAATATATTGGTTACATCATTACAACCAATTTTAGCGAGATCACTCTTTACAGAATATAATACATTTACGAAAAAACTACTTTTAAGTTTTTGTTGTCATGTCTGACTCCTTTTAAGTCTGTATTTTGTAGTACCTAAACAATGTCAGAATAAATCGTCAAAGAAAATGCCTTATTTATTTTACACTTGATATGAGTATCACACCTTGTGTTGAAATCATTAAACATAATTAAATAAGCAAATAACATTCAAAAAAATTCACAAATATTAAAATTTATAATAGGTAAGTATGACCACCGGGCCGGTCGACGCCCGCGCTCAGCTGATTGGGTTGCGAGTGCCTACTAAACCATTCAACACTGTGCATATTGTACCAGGGCGCCACTTTAAATGACTTCACATTAAGTTTTCATATACTTCTTTATTTTGCATAAAACCATTTGATAAACTATTTGATTCTTTTACTAATTTCTTTACGAATTAATAGACATTGTTTAATAGACATTTAGGTAGTTTTCTTTACGAATACTGTTTGCTAGCAACGCCTTCTGCATCCAAGAGGCAACGTCGCATCCAGCGGGTCAACGCCTCAACGTCGCACATGCGGCGGCCCAAGGCCAAAGGTATATTATAATGTCGACACAGGTGACATCGTCATCAAAGGCGCCGCCTGCCCTTTTCAGTTTGCAGCCATCGATTTGGTGATCGATGTTTGCAGCATGTGGAAATTAAATGAGTATTATTAACTTTTTTTTTATTTAATGTAAGTTGTATTTAAAAAATGGATGCAGGTTAAAATAATTACAAAAATTACCATAAAATATTTATAATGATTAAATACAAATTAACAGTAATTGAATAAAGATATTAAGGTATAATGGTTCAATAAAAATATTAAAATACAAATTTAAAAATTAGACTTACCTAGGTACTTGTCCGCGGATGGCGGTGAATATCGCGCACATAGCGTTCAAAATAATCACCTCTACATTCTATGCATAGGTGACACCTAAAACTCTTCACCGACACGAGATAATACTTGATGATTCATTTTGATCGAATGCCCAAATTATTTTTTCTTTCAACATGTTGCGGGTTTCAAAGGCGCGACCAGTATACACTAATGTCTTTACATGCCCCCACAAATAAAGATCCAGCGACCAGGGTATTCTCTGTTTAAATAATCCTTAACTTGGCGAGCATAGTGCACTGGCGCCCCTTCATGTTGGTAATACATACGTAGAGATGCAAGTGGTATGTCCTCTAACAATTCTGGCAGCTTGTTGGTGAGAAAACTATGATAGCTTTCACCGTTTATTCTTTCTATGAACCGGGCCCAGTAACGTTGTATTAATAACGCCTGCCCACACATTGTTGAAAGCTATGTGGTCTTGGTTCATGTGGATTTTCATAGCACCACAAGTGTTCATTGTGCGAAGTAAATAGTTCTATTCTGCCAAATGTTGCTTCATCAGTCCATAAAATGTAAGCTCGTTCAGCAGCTAGTAACCAGTTACAAAATGTAACTCGCGCTGGTTTGTCAGCTTCGCCGAGTTCATGAACACGATGCAGATGGAAAGGATACTTCCCTTCATTGTGTATGACACTCCATGCGTAGTACTGTGACACATTGAACTGTCGGGCTACCTCATAAGTGCTAGCTGCTGGATTTTGTTCAAAAACTGCAGTATGTCTTACTGCTCACGTACTGTGCGCCGCGGTGGACGACCACGATCGATTGATACACGCTAGAATTGCCTGTAATCTCGCAATCGCTGTGTAGTACCTAGCATCGTAGCGTAGCTCGGTGCACGTGAGTTGGGAAATCGCCTTGAATATTCACGGAAGGATTCACTAACGTTATCATTTCAAATAGCTACGATTCGTACCATTTTGGTATACTCAACATTTGAGTATCGGTAAGTCATCGTAACAACGTAACGTTCACGAAATTAATCTCACAACGGAAGGAGAAACGTCGCGGGGGGACCAAAGGCGACTGACGACACAGGTAATTAGGTCAAGTTCAAATGAGCAAGCGCCGCCTCCTACACTCCTCCACCCCTACCCCGCCACGCGCTTTCTTTTGTTTTTTTTTTAGGACTATTGCCGTTTAGAAGGTCCAATTAAAATATTTTTATTTTTGTATGAAAATAAAAATTGAAGAAATATAATTTTTTTTCTTAAATAAGATATCCCCAAAAGATCTTCAGTAAATTAAAAATTACCCTGTATAACGTCGGTATACTAAAACGCGATATATTGATATTTATTATAAAATATCGAATTCGTATCAATTTCGATATATTTTAAAATGTTGTATCGTTTTTTTTTTCGTCGTCCAACGGTCAGTAAATAAAATTTTGGACCTTATCTTTACATCATGCAAATGATGACGATATATCGATATTTATCATGCGATATATATCGATACTGTTCAAAAATATAGATTTGATATATATACAGATATATTTTTTTCCCTTGGCCATCCCTAAAATGATTTATGTTAGTCTGTATCACAAACTATAATAAGTGTTTATCTATCTGTTTTTTATTAAGATTTTGGCTTGGATGCTTGTCTTTTAAGACGTCATCATTTCATTTGGGATCTTAGTTTTTAGGGTTCCGTACCCAAAGGGTAACCAACGGGACCCTATTACTAAGCCTCCGCTATCCGTCCGTCAGTCTAGACGGTTGAAATTTTCACAGAATGTGTATTTTTGCTCTCGCATCTAGCCGGTTATTATAGATGTTCAGTATCCAGTGATAATAATGCTTTATAGTACACTGCTTCACGATATATTGATGCGTCACATTGCATAGGTTTCGGGAGCTTTTGACGACAGCTTGTGGTAGCAGACATTTGACGATAATACCTCAAGACGCCTAAACAGGCAGATATCTTACCTTGAGATTTGTACCGTTAGGGGTTCTGAAGTAGGTGGGTTCTTAAAAAGCCAAGATTTATAGTAAATTATTTATTTATGTTGCTTCCGCACACATACAAGTAAGTTTCTATGAAGGGCCACTGGCCTGACGAAGGGGCGAAGTCCAAGCACTGTTCCCTCAGGGTTGTAGACAGCCAGCTAGCAGAAGGAGCCGGTGATACCCCAAGCCCGACAGTGATGATGGCCGTTGGTAGGAGGATAGGCCAACATTCCGTTAGCTCGCGGCTCGGCAAGCAGTAGCCCTTAAGTAGTAGGTAGATGCTTAGGTAGTAGGTAGATCCCCAGCGAGATCAACTGCACCTCGAATAATTTAAATTTTAATGGTAGGTAAGCAAGTTCAACGGTCGTTAGTAGGAAGGTCACGCGCGTTGCGAACTTGAAGCAGTCTCAGGTAGAAAAGAAAAAAGGAATAGCCCGAACGGGGACTCGTCGTCGTGTCCGAATCCTACCGAGTCTTTTGTTTTAGAGATCGGTGAGCAAAATGATTTACGCTGCGCGGACTAATTAACTAGTCTCTTTCTTGAAGAACAAGACCACCGCACTTCTGCTCCACGCCTCCGGTGTAATGTCACCATTGAGGACGGAATTAAAGTGCTTCTGAAGGACTTCAAGTACCGGTCTTCCACCCGCTTTCAGAAGCTCCGCTGTAATTCCATCCTCGACTGGGGCCTTGCCGTTTTTAAGGTGCTGGAGAGCCATTCCAATCTCGCTCAGACTGACGTCCGGGATATCTTCGGAATAGTGTCGGATAAGACTCGCTCTTGGATCGTTACTCACGTGTGGCTCCAACGATGACGTGTACAGCTGCCCATAGAACCTCTCAATCTCACTCAAAATCTCAGGTGCCCCGGAAACGATGCTGCCACATTCGGTCTTCAGCTTTAACAGTTGGCTCTTTCTGGCACACAGATCTCTGGCAATGACTTTGCAGCCTTGGTTCTGCTCGATCGCTTCTTCAATACAAGCTGTATTGAAGTTGCGTAAGTCCCGTCGTATGCATTTGGAGATCTGTCTGTTCAGTTGCATGTATGCTGTCAAATCTATTGAAGAATGTAGCTTCATCTCCCGTCTAACAGCCATGAGATTAAGAGTGTGCTCGGAGTTTTTGTGTTCTTCTGCGGCGGGTCTTACAGAACTTAGCTCCGACCCCATGGACAGTTTCCACGAGCTTATCATTCATATCGTCCACTTCATTGCAGTTTTCTAGGCACTGAAAACGGTTTTGTAACTCGAGCTGAAAGGTTTCGGGACTTTGGAACAGAGCACGAGGGGGACGGAGCGTTGATTTCATTAGACGAGACCTCTCCAACTTAACGTTTAGGTTCAGTGTGCCTCTAACAATTCGGTGATCGCTACCAGTTTTCACCCTCGCGATCACGGAGACATCACTGAACAGTTGTTGTCTGGTCGTCATAATGAAGTCAATCTCATTTTTTGTCGAACCGTCGGGGCTCGACCAGCTCCACTTCCTGTGGGGCCGCTTCTGGAAGAAAGAGTTCATCATAAAGAGTCCCTCTTTCTCCATGAAGTCGGCCAGCTGCTGACCCCTTGGGTTCCGTTGCCTTATTCCAAATTTCCCTACTTTCAGCTCACCATTCTCTCTTGTGCCTAGTTTTGCATTGAAGTCTCCCATTAACACCGTATTTTATACCTTATGGAGGAATGCATGGCTCTAGAGATATCCTCATACATTTCCTCCACCTCCTCATCGGGGTGTGCCTAGGTTGGTGCGTAAACCTGTATGACCTTCAGCGAATACCGTTTCGTGATTCTGAGTATAAGGTACGCAACCCTCGTCGACACACTCCCAATCTTTACAACGTTGCTAACGAGAGACTTGTGGACGATAAATCCGACACCTCCTTGGGACAGATGGTCGCCCTCCCGGTGATAGAGCAAGTTGCCGGATTCGAGGATTACCGTGTCCTCCCCCTCTCTTCGGACTTCGGATAATCCTATAATATGCCA